ATACACCCTACTTAATGGATTGTACGGCACCCATATTTATTGGGCGTTACAGTATTTCTCAAAATTGTGGATGTAGGAGCACAATGAAGTCGGAATTCACAGACTGTGACCCCAAATGATGCAGCAAAAAGTAAACGATAATTAGATCGAATTTAAGCCAATCAGAATTGAGTCGGATGAGATGTCCGACTTTATTGGATCACAACACATTAATTCTCCTCGGAGATGCGGGAACTGGCGAAAACTCATCATAACACGAAGTTATGGAAGGCCAAAATCGAGGCATTCATGATTGGCTAAAGCGAAACTGGAGTTTCCTCGCAGTCATCCAACTTGTTGGAGAGGGACATTGGCTGCTGTACTGACACGCTTTCTATCTGCATGTGCGATTCCTTGCATTCAAAAAATTCGCGCCGTTTCACACCGAAAACACAACAGTTCCGGATATTTCATCACTTTTGCGGATGCAATATTTTTATTGTGCATGTGCATGTGCATGTTTTTGTGGTACGGATGCAATATTTTTATTTTTTGCATGTTTTGTGGTACTGTCAACTCGACGACATGTCGACATGCGCATATATCGAAAATGGACGAACTTTGAGGACGCATTTCTCGAGCTGTGTAATACTTAGAGCAATACTACTCGTACTACAAGATAGTCCATTACTAGCTCAGCCTATGCAGCATGGTCTACACATACACAGCTCACTCTGGCATGAGACATCTTACCCGCATGTACACGCTTGTTCTTGAAATACGACGAATTTGCCAAGTTCAAAGTTGTCTTTCTCCACAGCTGTTGATTCAGGCGACATGCCATAATGTGTTCTTGATAGTATTGGTTGTTGTTATGAGGAATGGAGAGTTTCGTGACCCGTTGTGCAGTATGCATTGAGAAATCGCTGACCTGCATCGCGCCTTTCCCGCATGTACGCCTGCGCAATCTGCAGGATGTATAAATCGTTTGTTCAAAACGTAAATAATAATGGAGATGAATAAAAATACGCATACTTAATACAAATATCAATATAAAAATGTTCAAGGGAATAATAATATGTAACTGTCGCGCGCATGCACACGTCGTTTGATTCCGTGGAAGTGGCAGATTCAGTTCCTGGTTGACTCGGACGTGACAACTTGAATAAACATGCATGTATCCCCTCGACAATGGTACACCATGACTTGAAGGAATCAAGGACCTTAAATTCTTCATAACATTAGTGATGTGTTTGTGTCCTGTTCCCGCGTCTCCCTCTTTAAGAAACACTATTATAATAAAAATTTGGAGTAAAGGAACCCCTCCATCGAAGGGTCCCAAAAAGTGTCACGGAACTAGGCCCATACCGTATAATTCAGCCATTTCAACTTTGCAGTTCAGTTGTTGGTATTTTAGCTAATCGTATTCCAGCCGTGATGGGATCTCATTGGATATTAAGAGGAAACAGAAAACTTGGGACAAATGGAGAAAAAGAGTATCGATGGGGGGGATCGAACCCCCGATCTCAAGCGTGTGAAGCTTGCGTCCTAACCACTAGACGACAACGACTGTATGATTTCAAAGTGCAATTACTCAACCTAATGGTTGCGAACAGCGAGAATTCGGGACCTGCACCTTCCTCTCTTGATTGTTTAATCGTTATGCAAACACCAAAACAAACTTGTTTCGTCGTACGGTCAACTCGGCTCCATGCTAGACTCCACCACCCGCCACAGGATGCATCCTCAATGACACGCCATGCCTTTTAGAGAAAAGATGTGCGCAATGTGTGCATAAAACCAAACAGGCTGTGCAATGGTAGGGATAGTTGATCAACTATGACCGAAATGTAGCGTATACAGTATACTAGTAATACCAAGTTGGTATTTTATGGCAAAATGCGCAAAAGTGTAATCGTTAAATAATTGTAGACGTGTGGTCCATCATGATAGTCAAAAGTCCTTCCATGGAGGACAATAGGTCGGAGCGTGCCTTGAATCGACGAGCGGAATGTCGCTGGCTGAAAATTCCGTGTCTTCTGGAATGGAGTTTAACGATAGCCCTCTTGCTTTGTGAAGATGGCGATGGTGGCGGGCATAGTGATGGGTTGGCAGCGCCATCATCATAATCGACGACGGCCCGCCGATGACATCTAAGATCCATTGCGGGAACAGCGACATCGTCCACGTCATATACCAACGACTCCACGACTGCTCGTCTTCGTTATGGTAGCCGCCTGCAGCCACGATCGCTTTGACTTCGGAATCGAAGGGCTTGGATATGACACGAAGCACACGCCAGCACATGTACAAGATCATGACGGCGCCACAGAGACTCATCATGAAGTGCACACGCGGATAATGCGTCGCCCTGGTGTGTCCATGGAGGGATTCGCGGTCCCGCAAGGAGAACCTGCCGCGCGCTGCAGCGTCGTCGGCCGTGAACAAGTCCATGCGGTCAGTCCAAGTTGGAATATGGCCTTGGATGGTTGCAGTTGGGTTGTCCGATTGGTCGATTCAGGCGAAGTCAATGTTTCATCTTTTCACTTTGGCTAGGTATTATATTATCTTGTGCTTTGTATTTGACAAATAATAATACCGAGCATTTCATCCTATACGATGTGACATATTCGTCCAAAATCGCTGTTCGATTTGTCAAATAATCTTGGCAAGGTCGCATAGAATATCAGCCAATCCAATGCAAGAAACTGCCTTCGGTGCCCTGGGATTGGTCCATTTGGATGACCATCGACGTGCCCTGGCTATGAAAATAGAAACCCTCGGACGCATGTGTCATCCTACTTGACCAAGTGCCCGAGGTTTGTAAGCTATTACTATACGTATACTTGTAGTACACAAAGCAATACTCCAGTAGTTAACTTACTGTTAGGCCAATTTGCATGAGCTTATGTACAGTAAGTTACGCTACAGGATGGGATACATACTGTATATACTGAAGTCTCCTCAACCATTCGTCAATGACGGCTGTACCACTCAGATGGAGAGAGATCCAGCGCACCCTTGTCATTCCAGCCAAGATCTTACTTCGAAGTACATGGTACCGGGTACTACTATTAATAGTACCGGTAGTACAGTACTCCGAGTACACTACTGTACTATTAATACAGTATTAATACATAAGTAAGTACTACGTAGTACTAACGTTACACTGTACTGTAGTACTAGTACTATTAATAGTACATCAGCCATACTATTATATTAATATAATACCACTACTCCGTGTCTCTTTATCACATATGGGTGAGTTTTAATATAATGTACATTTGGTTTGGCCAATCAGAGCCACTTGACATGTATATTTAGCCAATCAAAGCATAACCAGGTGTTTCGTCCTAATGCATCGATGTAATTGGTGGATATTTACCAATCAAACGTTGAATACGACACGCTACATCCATTTAATTGGCGGAAACTTCTGCTGAACAGATCAAGGTGGGTGCGACTACTTTCAGTGGTTGTTATTCTATCATTTATGAACGAATCGCTTTATTAAAATAACAGCAGGACGCCAGCTTTTGGCAGCCAATCGAAATTTGCGATTTGGCACAGAGGTCGCCGTGATAGGTCAAATTTCGTCAAATGTACATTATAAAAAGTCACGGAGTAGTAGTATTGTGCTTTCGAGTGAAATTTCGTGTTGTGGCGTGGTTTCTCGTTGGATTTTAAATCGATTTGATTGGCTACCTCAGATGAGCTCAAAATTATTAACCAATCAAAACCTTCTCAATGAAATTCAACCAATCAGATCGATTGTGGATCGGTTTGGTCGGCGCGATTCGATTGCACCCCCTCCCCAAATTTGATTCAAATCGACAATAGTATTACCGGTAATACTACTGCAGTACTGTAGTATTGTCAAATCGATTCGAAATTGGAGTGGGGTGCTGCTGAATCGAATCAGCCGAACCAAATCGGCAAACAATATCGATTGACCAATCAAAACCCAAAACACGAATCAAGTAGCCAATCAAACTCATTCTCGCTTCAACCCTTCTACATTATTCGTGTGCACTTTTTCCATATTCCGTCCAAGAAATGCACAACCACACAAAAATCCAACCTTGGCTGCCAGCACAATCCTCATCATGTACACTTGATGATGCAATCATCAATCTTTGATTAACGTCGCTCGAAATGTACAAAGTGCTAGTCCGACAGCGACTGGAACGCAGCTTCGATTTCTTCGTCCAACCCGGCAAAGAACTTTCGCAACTGTTCCTCGGGTTGCTTGGGCAATTGGAACTTGGTCTGAATGATCTTTTGGATCACAGGGTTCAGTGACACCTTGATCTGCGCCCACGTCACGCGTGCATCGGGCGGCGAGTCGGCAATCACCTATACATCACGCCATAGGATTGATTGATTCCCCACGTTAGTAAGGCATCATCGCATGTTACCACTTTCCAAGAAGAAATAAAACACACGTAAGAACATTACGATATTTATTATACCCATATGTCTTCTCAAAAATCAACAATATAATTGGAAAGATTTTGACATATAAATACAAAAAAAGCGTCCAATAGACAAATTCATCATTCCATGGGGGTATTTAACAATACACCGCTGTCGTCGTCTTGTAAACAAACCACCACTTGGGCTAAAAAAGAAAAAAGGATAAAAAGATATTGTGGATTCGGTAACCGTTAGCACAACTTTAATATTGGCTCATCCAATTTTCGAGAGGATTTGATTGGCTCTTAACGAAAGAAGGGCGCGTATATTCAACCAATCACAACACCACCACCACCAGCTTGATTCCAAAATTTTGAGCCGACAAACCAACAACGCAAAGCTTAAACGTTTATAGCGAATCATTATTCACAATATATTCTCAAGTCGATATATTCGAAATTGTGTTTGGGTGCTCAATCGAATGAGCAGAATCACCGAATCGGCAGACGACAATTTCGATCGACCAATCAAAAACCACAACTCGAATCAAGTAGCCAATCAAATCCACTCTTCGACCAATTCAACATCGTATTCAGTACAAAGAATCATCGATCGATAAAGATTTGGCAAAGAATCAGCACACAAATGTCCAAATATTAGGTAAAACGACTGTACCTTTTGAGACAAGTTGTGCAGCAAGATAATAGACCGAAGCATACCCACAGACTTGACCAACGGGCACGTGAAGTCATAGTCGGAGAACGCATTCTGCTGCAAAAAGTCTTCCCGGATGATCTTGGCCACTTCCATGACCACCTTTTGGTCCTCCGACAGCGACTCTTTGCCCACAAGTTGGACAATCTCTTGCAAGTTGTCTTCTTTTTGCAGAATCTCCTGGCACTTGGTGCGCAAGTTCGAGTAGTCCGGGTCCAACCGGTTAAAGAACGGCTCCAGTACACGCATGTACTTGGTGTACGAGATCAGCCAGTTCACGCTGGGAAAGTGCTTGCGCTGCGCCAGTTTCTTGTCGAGGCCCCAAAACACTTGGACAATCGACAGTGTCGCAGCTGTCACCGGATCGGAAAAGTCGCCACCTGGAGGGGACACGGCCCCCACCACCGTCACACTTCCCTCCCGCTTGGGACTGCCAAGGCACGACACGCGACCCGCGCGCTCGTAAAATGCCGCTAGACGCGCCCCCAGGTACGCCGGGTACCCACTGTCGGCAGGCATTTCGCCCAATCGGCCCGAGATTTCACGCAGCGCTTCGGCCCATCGAGACGTCGAGTCAGCCATCATACTCACGTTCATGCCTAATACAAGGTTTAGTACGACGAAGCAAGGTAGAGTATCCATCCAAACAACACACATGAACAGTATATATATATATATATTGAAACAACTATGGGATTCAGTGAAGGCCATGTGTATATATATTTACATATATATTGAAACAACTATGGAACGTATATATATACATATATATTTGAAACAACTATGGAATACAGTGAAGGCCATATATATATATATATATATATATATATAGGGAAACAAGTATGGAACGTATATCATCTATTGAATCCACAATGGAATACCGTTGAATGTGCCAGTCATGTGAGAGCTAAAGTTGCATGAAGGAACAAGAACGCAAAATCTCAACCATAACGTTATATGGAAACATCATAATTCGTAAAACCCAATAAATACCGACCCAACCATGAAAATACAACCCATCGTTATATATTCAACAATACTAACCAGACCATGCAACAATATCACATATTGTTAAGGTGTATAGTCTAAACTGGAGTGACATGGAGAATGAATCATCGACATAACACCAAATGTATTGCAGAAGTACGATTTAGCCAATCAGATTGCAGGAAACCACCATCAAAGTCAAATTAGTGTATGACTTTAATTAGTGTGATACCAAGCACCACAGGACACGTTTTTACATACAAAATTCAGTACAAACAATCGATATATATATTTGGTGTGAATCCGCACAAAAGTTCACATTTACGTCGAGTCAAAGGAGGATAATAAATACCACATACAATCAATCACAAATACACGAGGAGTTGTACGTGTTCATTCCATCTCCCACGATAGGTAACGACTTGTTATATATATGACGAACCTTGATCGCGGAAGTACTCGGCCAGCGTGATGCCAGTGTAAATGCTGGCTTCGCGCGCGGCCACGGGCATGTTACTCGTGTTCGCGACCAGCGCCGTGCGCTTCATGATGGGCACTTCCTGGCCGTTGATGGTCATGGTCAGCTCGGGGAAGTCACACAACACTTCGGCCATTTCGTTGCCGCGCTCGCCGCACCCGACGTACACGATCGCGTCCGAGTTCGAGTGCTTGGACAACGCCTGGGAGATGACCGTCTTGCCGCAGCCAAACGCGCCGGGCACGGCGCACGTCCCGCCCAGGACGGACGGAAACAACGCGTCGATGATGCGCTGCCCGGTCTGCAGCGCGACGTTGCCGGCCAACTTCTCCGCGACCGGACGCGGCTTGCGCACCGGCCAAAAGTGCGACAACCCAAGCTTGTGGGTCGTGCCAGTGGTGTCGTCGCGCACTTCGAGCACCGTGTCGTCGAGCGTAAAGCTCTCGTGACCGTCGGTGCCGTGACCGTACACCTTGACCACGGTCCCAAACACGTTGGGCGGACACATGATCTTGTGCGAGTACAAAAGATCGTTCTCGTGCACCGTCCCAAAGATGTCGCCGCCGGAAATGGGGTCGCCTTCGCGGAAGCTCACGGGCGTGAAGCGCCATTGCTTGTTGTGGTCCAACGACGGCACGTCCACACCACGCGGCACGTACACGTCCTGCGTGAGCTTTGCGATGGATTCCAATGGGCGCTGGATCCCGTCGAAGATGTTGTCCACGATACCAGGACCAAGTTCCACCGACAGCGGCTGGCGGCGGCGTTCCACGGGATCGCCCACAGTCAACCCAGCTATGGCCACCGCATGAGTCATCAAGGACATCGGAGAATGCATGCACGACATGTTTACGTACAGGTATCCTCGTACACTTGGATAGACGCGTTCGTGCCTTCGAGCTTGATGATTTCCCCGACCAATTTGTCGTGCCCTACACGCACCAACTCGTACATGGCTGCGCCGTGCATGTTCTCGGCAATGACCACTACACACAGAGGCATCATGAGTCACACATCATGGGAAGGTCCAAGGTCATGCCGACTTACGCGGCCCGGACACCTTGTACACGTATCCATAGTCAGATTCCTTCTCTTCATCTCCAAACACGACCGACATGCTGTTCCCCTCAACAATCGACTTTTTGTGAGCGCCTCACACGTCGATCGTCCGGATACGTCCATACAAATCAACTCAGCGTCACTATCCGGATAATCTCCCGATCTCACTTCAAGCGAAGTCAGTGATGTGCGATTTCGATTGGCTGAGTTTTAGGCTTCCTTTCCACGGATTGGCTAAAAAGAAGGCGCAAAGATCGCAACTTTTTGCTCCAGGTTTCGGGGTTCCAAATCCCAAGAAATCAGTGATGGATGATCGGCTAGATGGGAATCCAACGGGCCATGTGTCGTCTTCTATTTACATACATTAAGGTTTGGCTCCACTGTCCTTCTCTTCTTTGCCGCCATCGTCGTCATTCGCGTCGGACTTGCCCGCGGCGGCCGCAGCTGACGTGGCACCGCCGACCAATCGACCTCCTTTGCCGAGGCGGTCGCAAACGATGGTAATGTGTTTCTTCAGCTTCTTCGTGTCTTCGGGCAGCACCAATTCCACCGGCACCCCTACTACGGACCACTCCTTCAAGTCACAGCAACATACGTCGATCGCGGCTTACCGGCGACGGCGGCTGCATTCTCCTTCTTCACTGCCAGGGCCGTCTTGAGCAAGTCGGTCATTGCTGTTTCCGTGGATTCCTCCCACGCGTCGGCCACGCGGGGACTCAAGTGTGCGCTGAGCACGGCAAAGTTGTCATCGTCCAGGTCAAACTTGTATCGTATGAGCATGAGCAGCAAATGTACACTGCACGCCAGTCGATTTGCTGACACTTGCACCTTGCTTTGCACGTGGTCTACCTATTCGAGAGGTCAACCACCTTCAATCCCGACATTCGATGCATGACATACCCGCCTGGACAGGTCCAGGAGCTGGGAATACGTTCCATGGAGGAGCATATCCAGACAATTCAGCGGCGACGGACTGCGGTCCTTGTATCGGACCAACAGCCGCTTTTGGATGACTCGGAACTGGTGCGCCCGGTCGTTCAATTCCGCATGCAACTCGGCCATTTCTTTTCGATACTACAAATGTCCCATACATATTCTTCAACAAAACATACACTTCAACGTGGAGTGATGGACTGTCCGGTATAACAAGGTAAAACAAACATTCCAAACCCGTACGCACCGCAAAATGCTCGTCGATGGCGGCAAAGAAGTCGGCGAGCGGCAGCGGCTCCTGGTACTGAATATGCAGCGGCGGCGGCAGCGCCGATGGGTCGTCGTCGTCGTCCCCCTGGGTTTGTTGCACATGGAGCAACTGCAATCGGTCCACGAGTTCGTTCGAGACCATCCACAATGCATCGAGCTCGGTCGACTGAATGCGGTATCGCCCTGCATTTTTCGACACGAGGATCGTCACGTCGATGCCGTTGTAGTATTGGAAGCTCAGCACATTCGCTGCCGACCCCGTGACTTGTTTTGCCCAGTCCGGCGTCGCTCCTGCGCACCACCGTCATATCAACATCCCTCCAGCAGAGAGAAGCCCACCCATGACGACTTACCAGGTTGCGTCAACATGTCGTCAAACAGCTCGGTCAATTGTGGAGGTTCTTGGTTCGTGTCCAATGTAAACTACCATCCCAAAAGTAACGTTATACCATATATTAGTGTAATATAGACCGTTTAACCAAATTTCCAGGAATCGGAACCAAAATTAGTGTAATGGACATCCCGACATACAAATTTCAGTACTAAGCCTCCACATACAGATCTTGATATCATTACGAAACAGTACCTTGAACGTGCTCGCTTTTACGGGCGGAATCAACCGACACATCATGCACATGGGCAGCTTCACCGTGCACAGCGACGTGCGGGGCTGGCCGCTTTCGAGTGTATACGCGGCAGAGATGATCACGTCGAGTGAGGATGGCATGACTGAGGCACTGGGACGCAGCACGATGGGTAGAATCAGCGGCGTGCCGGCTTTGCCGTCGATCGAGTCGAGCAAGATCGACGACGGACCACATACGATGACGTTGGCGGGTGGGGTGATGGCGATGGTGACGTTATTCAACACGTTGCTGCCCGTGTACGTGACGTACACGCGCATCGTGAGCGCCACGGGTTTGTGGTCGGGTCCAGTGACCACGTCACCGTCGGTCGTGACGTTTTCATCGGCGTTCTCGCGACCGGTAAACGTACGCAGGTCTGCCTCCGTGTGAAGCGACGGTGGGTCCAGCAACGCCGGCACTTGGGCGCGCAGCAGCACGCGCTCCTTCGGCTCGGTTCGACGCTCCCCCTGCGACCGCCGGATGATATTGAGCAGCGTGCGGTGCTCCTCGTCCATCTCCTCGTAGTTGACTTCCTTGGCGTCGGACGCCATCACAGACGTCGTGGGCGGGTCCGTGCCGAGGTAGTTGACGCTCAGCCGCCCATCGTCGTCCAAACTCACGACCATGCCGTCGATGCCCCTGGCGGAAGTCGCAAAGCGTTAGCTGTCAATGTTGTCCACGATATATTTATACATGCAGTCCATCGTATTTGCTGAATATATATATATATTTGACCCACTCATCCATATTTGAACATGAGTTTGCAGTCAATCGGAGGTTTTACAATATATGTTGTGCTCCGAATTATATATATAATTCGGAGCATTATATATATATATAATTCGGAGCACCACATATATTGCAAATAACATAACGGTATGGGAGAGTCAAATATAATATATATATATTATATTTTACTCTCCCATACCGTTATGTTTGATATACAAATAGCAGTCACACGATCAACGTTTGTAGCATATATGTTGACACACGCATGTATATTTGACATGCGATCGTTGTATATATATATATATTCAACCCTCATATATATACTAGTAGTATAATTTACGTTCATGTCTATACATATATAAATTCGACTCTCATATATACATACTTCGAAGTGCTAGTATAATATATGTTCATAAATAATCATATATATATATATATATATTCGACCCTCGTATATATATATATATAATATCCGGTTGATGTCGTGGTGGTGCTGTTGTAGTACCCAAAGCTGGAGACCGAGAGCGCCGTTGAGATGGAGGGCGCGACGGCCGACCAAATCAAGTGCGCATCGCGGAAGATCATCCACTGCTTGGCGTGGGTGGCAATGATAACGTTATCCGTGCTTTCCGAGTTGTCACCTGTGATGGTGTATGTCATGGATATATTGGTTACAAGTGACGTTATCGTACACAATGGACGACTGTACAGACACAACGACGACGGGTGGAACCCCAAGCGCTTGTGAAAGCACACGTCCCCGGACGGCGTGAGGCAAAAGAGGGAAAATTCCCCCAGCACGACCACGTCAAAGCTCCGCGCGCGGACTTCCCAGTGGAATTTTCCCGTTCGAATGTCCAGCACCAGCTCCCCTACACGTATAATATATCAGTGGACAATCACGAGTGTTTTACATGTATATACCCAAGTTGGTGCGCCATTCCGAGTGCAGGGCCTTCACGGCAGTGACCCCCTTGGCCTCTTTTGCGTCTTGCTTTGCCCCGTCGTCGTTGTGCTTCTTCTTTAACACCACAGACGTCGCCATCACCTGGTACCTAACATAGGTATTCCCATTGTGTTCAAATATCTAGGCCAATATTGGGAAGCCTGTAGAAGGGGAAAAATTCCCCTTTCAATCGCTTCTAGGTACCGGTAGCATTCGACATGCAAGTCCGACGTCGCCGTGATAAGCGAATCGGTAGCAGCTGCGTAGCACATGGTTCCTGGAACAAGGCACGTGGGCAGTTGTTGCATAAAGCTAAATCGGTCCTAGTTACACCACCAAATACTTTGAGTTATGATGATTTTGGGTACAGAACAATCAATTATTTTTCATATATATGAGGATTGATACACATATCATTGGAAATAGATATTGTCTATTCGATTCGAAACTCGAGCCCTCGGCAGAATCGAAATGGATTAAAGAACCGCCTAAGCCAATCAAATCACGTCCTGTGGAGTTTCTGCCAATCCAAACGTTTGACCCCTCCGCATTGGGCAAAACCACATATATACTAATTGATGTATAGTATAGTTTGTTCAAGCTTAAATGAGGTCAATGGATTCGAATGCTATTTGGTGAAATGACGCGCAAGTCCAAATTTGGGTGATATGCACAATACGATTCGATGAAAACATCAAGAAACACAAGAACTTATTAATATTTTAATCGATTTTGGTTTAGAATTGGATAGATAAAAAATAATATTAAAAATTGTGTATTGCGACGCTTACCTGCTCAAAGAACTGAAGGCGCCCGTCCAGCGACTGCACGCAAATATGATCCTTCTCGGGCGACTTGCCAAAGGAACCGATGGTCATGTTGAACGCAGTGAAGTGCTCGCCGTCGAGGCCGAGCGGATGTTCATATTTTTTGGTCAGCTTGAAGTAGCTCGCCGCCATGCCAGCGCCGCCAACGCCGTCGAGGCAGTACACGGCAAGGTGCTTTGGATGCAGCACCGCGATGCCAACGTTGGACGAGTGCCTGCTCAATGCATCAGTGAGTGATCATTCCCAGGAGAAGAGGATCAGCTGACGTACGGCACAAAGCGACCCACTTCGACTTGCAGGATGGGGTGCTCGAGATGCTCTTCCATGAGAAGGTGGTCGATCTTGAACTCGCCGTGAGTCGGGTAGTACACCCGAAGGGTCCCATTCAGACTGCCCACGACGATCTTGTCATGCGGCGTTGGATCGTTGTCGACGTTCCCCACAGACAAAGCACCGTAAGTGTACTCTTCCGCATTGCCGCTCGCCACCGTCCACCATTCCCGCGCCTGGAACAACGACATCCGCTCACAAGATCTTGGGATCTACCAGAATTGGAAAACGGCGACGCTTCGTGTAATGGAATTTTCTGTTGTGATCAGTTTGATTGGATAATTCTACAGCATACGTTGATATGATTGGCCAAATTTAGAATTAAAGCAAACCTGTATCAATGAATATTCAATTGCACTAACGTTATCACCTTCCTCGTGGTATAAGGCTACATGTATCCACTTACGGGTACACTGTTAACACAATGTAGTACTAGTACACGGTAGACTCTCTAGCGCAGTTCCCACCACAGGATCACTAATATACCGATGAGTCAATCCAAATGCACGCAACTTACGTGCCTACCGTAGTGTAGTATCAAATTCGACAGGTATTTGATTCGAGCCTGTTCATTGGTGGAATTCTGACGAATAGGAGTTGTTCCCCCATATTTTGTGACATCAATCAGCAGCATGAAGAGTCGGGTGGTGCTGGTAGCGGACCCTGACAAGGTGTGGCGCGATGCGAAGCTGTGTCGCTTCGTCCGAGATGCCGAGGAGAACCCCGTCTTGACCTTTACGAAATGGACCCGCAACAACAAAGCAGGTGGCTCCCGGTGGCTCGCTATCCAAGGCCACCAGGTGTGTGAAGTCCAGCGAATGGACGACAATCGCAGTCTCTTTGCGCCACGCAACGTCGTTGTGCAAGGTGCGTCCACGTACAATGCTTCCATCGTCTATTCTTCCTCCGATGCGTGCTCATCTCTAAACAAATGCATATAGACGGCAGCATTTTGGTTGTGACTCCCATGGATCCACTGTTTCTGTTGCTGGGGCAACTGTCTTCGTGGCCTCGAAACTCCCAATTCTGTGCCTTGCATGGTACTAATCTTGTTTAAGGGTTTTCATGATACATCCCGATCTTGTTAGACATCATGGAAACCTGCGGGGTGCCACTGCATGGGATTTCGCGATGGACAGTCACGGCCATCGCGAAACTCTGCGACATTGACGGAGACGATATCGATTCCCTTCGTATTCGACGGAATGATGACAAGATCACCGCATGGCTACGAGTCAAGGTCGACCGCATTCAGGCCGTCGCCATGCTACCTACGAATGGAACCGCCGAAGTCGACGGAACCTCCTTTCAACGACCTCCTGATGAGGCTGCCAGTACCCAACAGCAGCAGCAATCGCATGCTCTGTCTGCTCATGTAAGTGTGACACTATTACGATTGTGCTTATAGCCAAAATTTGGATTTTCGTGCACATTCACCAAAGCCATCGTCAATCGATTGTTTGTTATATAATGTTGTACTGTATTGTATGTAGTAATCGTCCAGTGTCACACTAATATACGTCACACACTAATTCGATGTTGAATGGTTGACGAGAGTATTTGATTGGCCACTTGATTAGGGATAGGGTTTTGATTGGTCGACCGATTGTCTGACTGCGCATTCGTTTGACAATACTACTAACGTGAATGTGCATTTCACCCATATTTGGACTAGAGTCATTTCGCCAAATAGCAGCATTCGATCCATTTTAAGCTTGTACAAAGATTAGTATATAACGTATCTGGTTTTGCCCAATGCGGAGGGATCAAACGTTTGGATTGGCAGAAATTCGACAGGACGTGATTTGATTGGCTTAGGCGGTTCTTTAATCCATCATTCTCTTCACACATTCAAGGCTCCAGTTTCGAATCGATTTGACAATACTATTGTCCTTTTACCCAAAAGTTTGGACTTTTGTGCTAAATCTATCGATCGAAATCTTTGACTTTTGTATGTAAATATCGTCCAGTGTCACACTAATTGAAGTAATTCGATGTTGGATTGTGAGATCGAAGAGTGGATTTGATTGGCTCCTCGATTAGTAATCTGGATTTTAATTGGTCGATCGATATTGGCTGCCGATTCGGTGCTGCTCATTCGATTGATACTAGTACGTGTTGATGTTGTTGACGCATTTGAACCTGAATTGGTAGGAAAATGCCAAAGACATCCGCGGTTTGCAAGCAGCGATCTCCATCGTGACTGAGTACTTGGACGAGTGTTGGACAGAACTCATCGTGCGATCGTACGGGTAAATGCGACCAACTAACTATATTGCTTTCGAGTGAAATGTCATGGTTTCTCGTTGGAATAATTTAAATCGATTTGATTGGCTACTTCAGTTATGAGCTCAAAATTATTAGCCAATCAAAACCTTCTCAATGAAATTGAACCAATCAGATCGATTGTGGATTGGTTTGGTCCCAAATTTGTACTATCAAATCGACAATACACTATTAATAGCTAGCGTTAGTTGGAGTTTGTACTGTTAGACTATGAACTACTTTAACCTCTTATTTAGATATGTTTGGATGATTTGAATGAGTAGACTGTCCCCCACCGAGTGGCAAAAGGACGTCAAAGCCGCCAAGAGCGTCATCGTGTCTGGGCCGAGTGATATTGCCGCCAAGTACGACTCGAGACAGCAAAACTCGACCACCACACCCGCCAAACGACCTGCGAGCACCGGTAGTGGCACGAAACTGTCTGCCAAGAAGAAAGCGCCGCCTGTGGCTGGAATCAAGTCGATTGCATCGTTCTTTGGCAAGAAATAGTTATTAATATATAATACTATGAAGCTTCGACAATGATCTATCTGTATTACATGGGACGACTATTACACCCCTTCACCTGAATACATGTGCTCACTGGTACAGTAGAAGTACTATTATTAACAGTAACTAAGTGCATGTCTGAACATGTTCCTATATCAAGCCGTCGCCGTCGCCGTAACCTCCATGTGGATACCATAGTAGAGAAAGCTTGAACAAGCAATCCACCTACTCCAAGTGTCCCAGCATGGGAACGATCGCTTCAAAGTACACGTACTACTGTATCCTGTGAACGCAGACTTGGTTGGCATGGCGGAATCCGCGATATGTATCGAGTACACTGGTTGACTGTATAACTTCCAACACGTGTCAAAGTCCTTCGTTGTCGCGATGTGACGTGGCGGGACTTTCCCATCGTGTTGCCGCTGCACGCGTGAGGTCCACGTACATGTTTTTGTGTCGTGTCTGTCCTCGATGGTATTGAATCGTACATGCTGATTGCATCATCCGACGTAGCTAATGTCTACTCTACAGGCGTTTTGCACCATCTTGGTCGGAACAGGTTGCGCCAGTTCCATTGCGTTCCTTGGGCGGCGAGCTAATTGTAGGGGCTCGAACGTTCAGGATCGTTCGACGTGATCTTTTGCGTGTTGTACGACGGGCGGCAAGAGGATATCCTGGTACAAGTATACAAATACCAAGTGTACACTCCGAATTCCGATACGACGAATTAAGTACCATATTGGATCGAGGAAATGATGACTTGCGATTTGTATACGTTGACCGCGTGTGGACTTCACGTGAATGTAGGTAGGGAAGGATGCTGAATTCCGCTATTTCTTGTTTGACCAGTGTTGCATTCGCCGTCTGCGCCTCACATCATCATCCGACTCGATGCAGAAAGCTGCTGCCTTGAGCATCCTGTGTCATGCCCTTCTAGACAAGAAGATGGAGTACTGCCGAGTCCACACTGTGCTCGCCGCGAAGCAACTGCTTCATGCGAAGGCAGTGGTTGACGAATGCGCCGAGCGTTTGGTTGTGCTCGACGAACTCCTTCGCGACTTATACGACAACGAACATGACGTGTCTGAAGAGATCGGTGCCATGCTGGACGAACAAGCCCAAGAAGAAGCGACCCATCAAGCGCTGACGGCCGCCGTTCGCGCACATAGAGCCCTGCTCCAACGACTCGTGCACAAGAAAACGAGGCTCGAAACATGCAGGAAAGGAATCCTCCATCGGCAACGTCGACTTGTCGAACGTGCGTTTCGCATGCAGGTGGCCGAGAACTCGGCAGAGTTGCTGGCGCAGTCTATTTAAGTAGGATATGTACTACATGTCGCGATGATGATCGTGGGATGGCGAAGGCGGCGAAGTCGGCGGAACGCGCAGGAACGCGTAATATAGATTGTGGTATTATCCAGATGAAACATCTTTTTAAAAATATCCAAAAAATTTGAGAAAAACGCCAAGTAGTATCAATCCGTGGTTGTTTACGATGCCAACCAAGCACACGATGTGGCTCATGCAAGTAGCGGCATCGCTGCCTGTACCCGAGAAGCATGCGTTGAAAGGTATCCTTCCTCATGGACGACACAACGCATGTCGACACGGCGTGATATCACGTGGCAGAGATGGTCCTTCGTGGGAACCGTCGGTTAAGGTCGATCACGAATGTCGAGGACGTGCACCGCGTCGTGACGATTGCCGCAGGTATGTAGACGAACAGTCCTTCGATGGATCTGCTCGGCTCCATGCCGTATCATGGAGAACTAACCATGATATGTCGTGTGATGCGTACAGTAAGCAATGCGTTCAGGGCATGGTACACCCTGTTCGACTCGCTCGCGATTTCCACCGACACGGCGCGGTATCTGCATCAAAATGAACATGGCCTTCACAACGACGACGACGACGACTGGGCCGCGTCGTCATCCGCTTCGTTCACGTACGGAGAAGTGGATTTCTTTGGCTTGGCGTCGCTTCTTGCTGCCGTGCGACCTCGTCCTGGCCAGGTACTACGACGCCGCACGCATTAGGAACTATAAGCCCAACGCGGTGGCTTGATCTCTCTCATTAGACGTTTTGCGACCTCGGACACGGCACTGGTCGCGCCGTCTTTGCCGCGGTACGGCTACCTTGGACCCTCGCTCTCTCAATCGTAGCTAGGCGTTGCTGTATCCCGAGCTCCGAGTCTTGGGGATTGAGTTGGTGCCATCGCTATTCCAAGCTTCCCGTCGTGCGTTCAGAGCCTTTCCATGTCACCACCACGAGCACAGCATTCAACTCGTGCACGGCGACATATTGCATGTGGATTGGTGGTACGTACATATGTTATGCCCATGTAATGACAACGTTAGTGTATGTATCGTGCACTTATCTACTCGATATAGGAGTGGCTGTGACTTCGTGTGGGTGAATGCGACGGCGTTCTCGGCGACGTTGTGGAACCACGTGCAAACGTTGGCGTTGCGATTGCAGCCAGGCGCTATTTTCGTGTGCCTCACCCAAGTACACGCACACCTTGTCCACGTGTTGGCTTGTTATTGGGGGCTTTGTGGGGGTGATATATCGAAACATGGTCTTGCTGTTATTTCATCGTATTTCATACTATTAATAGTATATTATTGCACCATGGGCTTGGAATTGGTTGGGGAATTAATATTATTATTCTTACTGTTTTGTGTTGATTTGGGAGAACGTCATGTGTTTTCTTTTTATATTTTGATGTTTAATATACAGGTCTTGTAGACGATGACGGACACGGCGGCGTTCGACACGGTGTTAGCGCAGTGGCCCGTGGCGACCAGTTGGGGCTCTGAACTCGCCCATGCGTATCGCCGTAAATAGGGGCCATTCTCTTAAGTACTAGCTAGTCCTATTATTATGCACGTCAAACTGTTTTTTATAAATAAAAACCTGTAAATAGAAATTAAAATAATAAAGTTAGGCCGAGTCTGGATGCCACAGACAATTTTATGTCAACTAGTAATATTCTGACAGAGAATTCCCCTTTTCAAATGGGAAGTGAGAAAATATTTTCAAAATATTTTGATGGATGCCATGATGGAATGAGACCTACACTGTATCAATATAGTAGTACTGTAGTATCATGTTGGTAAACAATGGACAGGTGCAATTCAAACTCTTTTTTGTCAGTAAACAGTACAAAATCGACGATGTATTACTTCGAAGTATGCAATTAACCCATGTCAGATTTGGTAGTGTGCATTTCACCCGAATATTTGGACTTGTGGGTCATTTCGCGAACTAGCATTCGAATCCATTTGCTCGAATTCAGCTTGTACAAGGTATACTATACAAAGAGTAATATATGACATGTGGTTTTGTCTACTTAACTAATACTCGAAGTATACTCGAGTACTACGTAGTAATAGCCAAACACCCACAAACGCTGTCGTTTGAAAAGTTGTAATATTTCTCAAAAAGTTGACAAATGTGGGGTTTCTGACATTTTTGGTATGACCCTTGTGGCTAATAAATAGTACGGGGAATCAAAATACTCTAATAATATGTACACACGAGCGTTATACCAGGGACGACAGCTTCCAGAGCCACAACACTTGGTCCTTATTGCTTGTACTTTCCGTGTATAACAAATGTAAAGTATTGATATGTTTGTGGATTCGAATTTTATAGCCGCGGGGGTATATAGATAGGGTCGGTCACTCTATCTATTTGTGGCTCTATGAAAACGGTTTTTACTCAAGCACTTTCGACTGATCGTCACACCACGACAATGTCAGCGCTTCGTCTCCCGCGATGCTGCTTTGGTGGCCAAACTTGAGCGCCTACGATCATCATCCATGTATATATCCATTCCTATAAATATATAATCTTTCGTACCTTTTCACCACCGTATCGGTCCGCAAACTGAACGTACCCGACGTCTTCAACCAGGCGGACCTTGACAATCGACCCATACGTGGCAAAATGCTGTGTCAGCGCGGTCACATCTCGCAAGGCGGGGGGAATGCCAGTCACTTGAACCACTTTCGTTCGATTATCAATCGATCCACCGCCACCCCCCCGTCGAATTGCCTTGGCTTTGGCTTCCAACTGACTGAGCTCAGCTTGGAGCGTCGCCAGCGGCACATTCGGCGGCGGCTGAGTCAGCGCGTCCAGCTCGGCCTTGAGCGCGGCGATCTTGGCGTCGACCTTGGGCTGTTCGGTAGCCGAGAGCAGTCCCTTGGCGAGCATTTTTTCACGGAGCAACTGGTGCTGTGACAGCTGGTTCGTCAGCAACGTCTGTCTCTGCTTGAGCAACGCCTTGTCCTGTTCGACCAACTGGCGCTTCTCTTCGAGGATCTTCTTGCCGGTTTCGAGCGCCGCCGCGCGCAGCGCTTCGGGCGTCTGGTCCGCGTCCACGTCGATTTCGCCCAAGTCTTTGGGCGACCGCTTGGCAAACTTGACCGCGATGAACCGATTGTTGCACACGGGCATGGGCGAGTGGAACGCCTTGCGCGCGGCCTCGGGGGTCGCAAACTGAACGAACGCGGCGCGGAACTCTGGCCGCATCTGCACGTTCACAACGTCTCCAAATCGACTGAAGTGCCCGCTTAGCTTGACCATGTTGATGAACTTGGCGTCGACGTTTTCCACGCGGAGGGTCGTGCTGTCGCTGTCAGTAAAGGTGGGCTTGTCGGGACGGCCGCGGTGGTTGTGGGGAGGCGGCGGATGATGATGGGTCGGATAAAACGGCGGATGCATGGACGGACTGTCGGGATCGTACGCGTTTGGGTCGAACGCGTCGGGGTTCAACATGGGAGGGTACATCGGTCGAGGGTACATTGGTCCCCATCCACCACCACCGCTTTGCATGTGCGGTGGCAGGCTGCCCCACTGATCGTAGCCCCTCGGCCCGCCGCGATTGCCGCGACCACCGCCGCCGACACGTCCTTGATCTCGCCTACAAGAGCATCAGGATGAGAACGTGACGGGGAAACGCCGAGGACAAGCGTACCGTGGTTCGCGACTGTAAGGTGCCGCCGCCTGTCGGCGGTCGTGGGATCGGTGAGCGTCCCGCAGCGACGGCGGGGATCGCGACCGAGAACGTCGAGGCCGTTTGCTTCTTCCCCCATCGACATCCACATCGCTGTCGTCGCGTCCTCGACGATGATTTTGCTCATCTCCATCACTCGTGTCCAACAACGGAAGTGTCGATGGTGCCTGCGCAAGGGGTGCATCATGCCGCGGAGACGATGATTTCTGCAGGTAGGCCTTCGTTCGCAGCGTTTTAAACAAGCGATCGACGAATGCGTTTGTCTCGTCACCGAGAAACTCGCGCAGTTTGTTGCGGCAGAGTTCTTCCAACCCTTCCTTGGCTGGATTTGCTTGCACTAGCGCTAACACGTACTTGGACAGCACAGACGGCTCCGCGTCGCATCTATGCATGCATATCGTCAGTGGAGGGGGACATAGAGAGTTTCCATGAGGAGATACATACAGAGGTTCCAGAATGCGCACTAGCCATTCCCGCAAAGATTCGCGCGAGTCTGCGTCCAGCGCCATCTATCTTTGAATTATGGCCGCTGCTCACCACGGGCATAACCCCTGAATTCCTTTCCTTCGATTGGTCAGATTTGAACCAATCGTTTTTATTCATTGTCTTTGCAGAATTAGGAAAGTGGAAGGGCTATTTTGACAATATATTTTGAGCAAATGACCATCGGTCAAGAAGAGGCACGTTGGCCGTGATGGCTTTGGCCTGTTTTCGGTCACTTACGGATAATATCTGGTCATCCGGAATTATCCAGACTTCTGGATCTGTAGAAGCTGGACATTTTCTGCCCAATCATAGGTCCGCTAGGCAGTACGTTAATGTTCACTTCACTGCGGCGTTGCTCATCACACGCATCCACAAAGGCGTTTCACCCTACCACGACCTTTTATACGAGACTGTTCTTTGGGTCACATCAAAACCTTTGGTTACGTTAGCACCGCGTTTGTGCAAATCAACATGCGCGCAATCCCTAAGCTCGATCCCCGCGCAATAAAGGCCATGTTTGTGCGTATCCCACACGTTCGCAAGGGCTACACTCTCATGCATTTGCACTCTCATCTATTAATGTACTCTCGTGACGTCACCTTCTGGGAGGCCGAGTTCCCAGCCATCAACTCTGTTGCTGCCACTGCGGCTTATCGCCAACAATCTACCACCGATCCCAACTTCATCCCACCCTTGGAATCTAATGTACCATTACCGCCACTACACTCCATCATCACCAACAGGCCTAGTACCCTTGTCTATGACAAGTCTTTGGCTTCTTGGCCACCCGTTCTTTCTACGGAACTCCTGTTGCCTCGACCATCACAGTACTTTCTGTGCAACTGCCACAAAGAATTCTAGATATCTTTTCGACATTCTCATTGACTAGTCCGGTCTTTGACCCAACTACTACTCCTTTACGACGACTCTATGATCCCATCCCACCTGTCTTCTCGGTCAATCCATCACACTTAGCCTTGTCGACTCTAACATCAATGTTCAAAATAACACTTGTTTTTTATTAGTGATTACTCAAATTGCCTCCTCATACAGGCAACTCCTCTGGAGCCCCTTGCCACCTACCACAACGCTCAATGCCACCTGCGAGCTCTACTCCTACTTTGGTCCCTATGGAACGATTGTTTATCTACGCGCTAATCGCCGAACGTGCCAACAACAACGACCTCAAATCCTGGGGTGACGCCATGTCCCGCCTCGACCAGGACAAATGGTTTCTAGCCGCCAAGTCCGAATACGAGTCTCTACTCTCGAACGGCACTTATGTGCTCGTCAAACGTCGTCATGACGAGACGGTTCTATCTTGTCTCTAGGTCTTTCGACTCAAAGCCGATGGCACGTACAAGGCTCGACTTGTCGCCAAAGGGTTCATGCAACAAAAAGATATCGACTACACGGACATTTTTGCTCCTTGTTCGACTTACTAGAAGTCCTACGCGTCCTATTTGCATTAATGGCCATCCATGATTTGGAATGTGAACAAATGGACGTCAAAACCGCCTTTGTCAAGGGCAAAATCGACTACGTTATACGCATGGATCGGCCTCCTGGCTCCCTCATCGACCCTGCTTCTAGGAGCAACAGTGTCTGCCTGCTTCAAAAGAGTCTTTATGCGCTCAAATAAGCCCCTCACCTGTGGTACTGGACTTTTGTCACCTTCATGGCTTCCTTGAGCTTTGACCGCCTTCACAAAGACCGCTACGTCGTTCTCAAAGCCAGATATGGTGGTTTTACATTGTTAATCTCTACATTGACGATCTTTTGATAATTACTCCTACCGAGGCCCTTGCTGCGGCTCTCAAGGAGTCTCTATGACTACGCTTTCAGATGAAGGACTTAGGTCCTGTTCGAGATATTCTTGGCTGGGAAATCGTCCATGACCGCTCCAACCGAACTCTGTTCATTCACCAAACTCGTTAGTGTTTACAATACTTGATCGCTTCAACAGATCTACGTCAAAGCACGTCGCCACTCCTTTCGAGTGCACCACGCCTCTCTCACAAGCGCAGTGTGCTACTACCGCCGATGACATTGCATTTATGCAAATCAAGCCCTACCGTTCCATTGTTGGAAGTATTATTTACTTAGCGATGGGCTCTCGCCCAGACTTGGCCTATGCCTTACAACTCTCGCAGTTTCTGCACAATCCGGGTCTTGCCCAATTGCGTGCTGCCAAACGCGTTGTTGGTCTTATGTTAGGCGGCCGAGACTATGTCTCCAAGCCGTTTCTATCCGCTTATGTGGATGCTAACTACGCCATGTGCCCAGACACTCGTCGCTGTGTCTGTGGATTTATTATTATCCTATTCTTCAACACCCTTATTTTTGGCTTTCGAAGAAAAAAGGTATCGTGTCTGTCAACGACCGAGGCCGAGTTCTTGGCTCTTGCCGTTTGCATTCAAGAACGTAAATAGATTATTTACGTTCGACAACTCGCTGCCGAGCTACATGACACTAGTGATCAACCGATTTCGGTACACGAGGACAATCAGTCTGCTATCAGCATTGCCCAAAACTTGGAGCATCATGGGCGCTCCAAGCACATTGATGTGCGTTTTATGTTTGTTCGCGATCTCGTTGAGAACAAGGAGTTCATTCTCCTTATTGCCCCACCAAAGAACAACTTGCGGACTTCTTCACGAAGGCGCATCGAGAACCTGCGTTTCGCAGGTTCTGCTTCGCACTGCGACTCTACGTCCTTGGTGACTACATTTGTTGCCGTGTATCCAAGTGACCATTGCCCATGGCATGGCTTTCACTCTATTTTGCCTTTATGGCTGTCATTTTTATTTATCATGCATCATTTGCACCTCTCTTCTAAGCAAACACTTATCATTTTCCGCCTTCAACCTCGCCCTCGGCCATTTGGCGACTTGTGTACTCTATGTCTGCTCGTGCCGTTTGGAAGTCGGCGGTCTCGTCTGGCCCGCGGCGCCGCTCAAGGATCGACCGTACGAGTGGCGTCATGTGTCCCCACCCCCCCTACTTGCAACTCATGGGTTTTTAACCCTACTCTCTGAGTATTATTTGTACTTTTGCTTCTGACATTTCTACTTGGGTCTTTACCCGCTATTATTAGCCACACTATCTTATATTTCGTTGCATCTATGCACTTTTGGTCTTTACCATGCTCCTTGAGCACCCTTGCATGTATGCATGACCTTGGGTTTTTGCCCCGCTCTATGAGTAACCATGCACTTATGTGTTCAACACTACTTTATGCGTGTTCCTGTCCTACCTCCTTCGCATCTGTTCTCAGGATGGCCTGTAATGACATGCCTTTGGCACTTTTGGCCTCTGCGAAATTTTCGCTAAGTCCTTTTGTCTTTGGCTTTGGCTTCTCATTGAGAACTTAGGCTTTCAACAGCCCGTTGCCCAGCGGAGTGGCTGTCAAGTAGTGGCACTTTGACCTTTCTTGCTTTGGACGTTTTTTGCTGAGGTTCGGTCCCTTACGGATAATATTTGGTCATCCGGAGTTATCCCTCCTCAGTGCTACCTCTTTCCTCGTCCCTCTTGACATTTCGAGAATACGTACGCACATAGTAATTCCCTGAGAGCAACAGTTTCATTGTTGCATACGTATAGTTCTCATTTCCCATCATAGCCCTGTAAACTCGGACTCCCCTAGTGTTGCTATTACCGGGGTATAGTTGCATCATCAACGGTTAGCTATAGCTAACCACTGAAGTGTACTCAACCCCTAGCTGGAATGTGTGGTTGATTTGGTGAATACTACCTGACAGGTTTGAGCAAAATTTTGGGCCTGTACATTGTGCAACAATTGCGTTCAAGCATATGCAAAAAACTCGCCGACCAATGAAAGTAACCTACAATCATATGTACAAAATGTGCTGTTAACATGATTGCGTGAGTGCAATTGGTTCAACGGCGGTCAAGCGACCTTCAGCCTAGGTTCTTTTGCAGGTCTGCCGCGCCATACAGCACTAGCACCACGACTTGGTGTCTATGGTATGAGTCATGTTCTGAGCTTTAGAGTGATCTAAAATTGGATTCCATAGCGCAAGCATTGCGTGCAGGAGATAAGGTTGTGTTGTGACGAATTTAACACAACATCAACCAGATTCTCATTCAGGAACGTGCCACGGCATCAATGCGCCTCAAATTGTTAACAGTGCTACGCCACTTCGTGAACGAGGTTGTGCTTGATGAATTACGTTGATACAGTTAGAATTGAAAGCAAGGCAGTAAATCAAACACACGTCAAAAGATCTATTCCTACAATTCACCGCCCACCGCATCGTAGTTGTGTTGCAATTTACGTTATTAGTAGTCCTGCTTGGAGTATGAACGCAGTTAGTGTCAAGGAGTTATCGTTCGACTTGCATGAATGGCACTTGTTGAAATCAATGTGCATGGACAGTAAATACGAAAAGTCGCTCGTTCTAGTACGTGCAACCGACGTAGTGAAGCTACTAGGTAGGTGACTGCCGTCATGGTGTACAGTACCACTAACGTTAAGCTAGAAATTTGCGTATTGCACGAGCGGCAGTGTTAGTAGAAATGCAACCTTTCGCTAACAAGCAGTATAATGTTTGCTTGCTTTGAGGCTGCCACGCCACTGACGATATTAAGGCTAGTGTTAAATATCAGGGAAGGAATTGTGTGCAGGCTACTACTACCGGTAGATATGTACTACCTCTGTCCGAAAGTAGTTGCAACATTTGAGATTGTTGAATTCCGAAAATGGTTGCAACAAATATCACGAGTAATTCACCTGGAACATGTTGAATAATATTTCAACGATTGCAATTTGGTACGAATTGCTCATATGACTGTTGTTCCCCAAATCTAAAGGAATCACTCATGGGTGCAGATAATGTGAAAATACCGGACAAAATGTACGATACTACGGATAAACCGGATAAGATTGGAACCCAATTCCGGATAGAATCGTTACATCCAAAGTATATAGGATAAAGTATCAAACTTGGCCGCACTCCGGATAAATACGTTACATCGTGGATATCTTGGATAAAGTAATAGACTTGGATTCTTGATTTACTCTTTCGATTGAGGGTACTCTGGGACAGTATTAGTTTATTCGTATTCACCTTGAGCTCCTCTATCAAAGCATACCTTTAGTTTTCGATATTTTGATAATCTTGACTCTCATTATTAAATTATTCTGAATGTTGCAACTACTTCCGGACAGAGGTAGTAGCTACGAGTATGCAAATCGCTGTTGCTCACGAATTGCTCGTACTGCAATATATGCCACGGAATAGTTGCACAACTACTTAGTTTTTCCACAAGGGAATGTCCCTGCTAAGGTTATGGCCCAGGTTGTTTGCTCATTGGGTGGGGATGCTCTCATGAGTCCACCAGAATACCATTACTATGTGTTGCATGTGAATGACCTTGATATACAGAATATTGCCCAGTAGTATCGATTCAGGGCTTGCCACACCACATACTAGTGAATGGCTAGCTACTGTACACTGTAGCCACACGTTTGTATCATGTCTCTAGTGAGGTATGTCCAAGAATTATGACAGTAGCGTAAGAATTTGGTGTAGTGTACTGGTTTCACTAAGTCGGACACAATTGTTTCGTAGCAGGTGGTGTTCATGTCGTTGTATGTAGTACCGATGGCTCTACCGGTATGATAACTACTTGTAGGCTATGGTTTGTCCCCTGAGTGTGTGAGCTTGTTACCTCAAACCCATCAAGGAATACCCTAAGTTCACCCCCTGTTCTGCATGGCGCTTCAGAAAGACCTATGGGCCTTTTTAGAGGTCGGCTCATGGTATCATGATCGGTAAGGCGGTTAGTCTCCATTGTGTGCAGCAGGCCGCCATTCATCGTGCGGTTGAAAATTGTGCATTGTTGGCGCATTTTGATTGGACGAAATGATTAGACTTAAAATAGACCAGAAACACGCCGCTGCGCTAGTGTGTTGGCAGGAATTAGGAATGGCGCTTCGCGCATGAAATATCAATTGACAGTGAGTACCTCGAAACAATCCAAATGTGTACGAAAGAATGTTGTCCCACGTAGAGCATTGAAACATCGGAACCCCGACGCCCTGGAACCTACATTAGTTAGGTTGAAGTGCAGTCTTCATTTTCCGGGGTTTGGCGCATCGCCAGTGGTTTGCTAACGCTAAACGCCGGCAATGCGCCGAACCCCTCCCGATAATCAGAAGCACTGCGAATGGCCGCGCACCCCCACGCAGATACTGAGAACGTTCAAGGCGCGACGATCTCCTGGTCAATGTGGCGACTTCATCCCGTTAGTGTTGCACTGAGAAATCCCGTTAACAGATAATTCACACATTTGAATTGCCCCTCAAAGGCACATTTTGACTATTCAGTTTTTGTCCGAATATATGATCTTGATTAAATTATGCTGAATTATATTGTCCTCAATTTTCATCTAGATTAAACTATGCAAGATTATCTTGACCGCGATTTATATCTTGATTATACTATGTGACATTTTTAGGCTTCGGATTATATACCGCTTACGCTTGGGCGCAGTCTCCTCGTGTGTTCATCGTTTACGTCTTCTAACGTTAACGGTATTACTACTGTAGTAGGCTGCCGATCGAATTCGTGACTTACTGCCAAATTACAAGTTCCCTCCCAAAACATATGTGCAGAATTTGCAAATATGACAAATTTGAAAGCTACTAGTACTTGATTTATGGATGAAACAATGGACGCCTACCAAAAATCTCGCAAGTGCTCTCGCATCCAAATTTGTGAGTCCGGATAGCACACATTATTTTACATACGGGCGCGAATTGTTCCCATATGAAACAGCAGGCGCCACTAATATTCTCGCAAAATCAAAATGGTACATCGATATGACTGGATAAGAAGAGAATTTTCATCCAATCATATCACTTGCAGAAAATACTGGAGGATGACAAGCATCGCTGCCGCCCTTCTGCTCTGTCGCATGCGACGTCGTCGTCGTCAAAAGCGGCTGTTGCTAATGCGTCTCGGTGGAAGTCTGCGTGAGAGGAGAGCTATTGAGTCCAGAGCCCTCATCAAGGATCAATCGGATGCAGCGTGGTACACCATGTACGAGTCGCGCAGTATTCCCTCATTCATTGCCACGGTGTCGATACCACCGGACGACTTTGATGACCTGCTTCGTGTCATTTCTGTCCACTACACAGTCTGTTCCGGACCTGGGTGTCGTGGAAGGCCGCCGAGAGTACAACAGAAGCATGCTGTCCTCGCAATGCTCCTCGATTACTATACGGCTGCTGTTGAGCACAAAACATTACAAGAGCTTTTCGGTGTGTCGCCAACTACATTCTCCCGTGTGTTGCGTCGAGCAGAAGTGGCGCTGGACCGTGCATTGTCCCGCATGCAGGATGCTGCTGTTCGTTGGCCATCAAAGGCCTTGCAACGGGACTGGGCTGTCTTGACGAACGCAAAGGAACCCCTCGTGGAAGGTGTGTTTGCCTTTGTGGACGGCAAAAACTATCGTGTGCAAAGTCCTTCCAACGCAGACCTGCAAAATGCCCATTACAACGGTATGCTCCCCGTGACTGAGTGTGTTAATTGCATTGATAGGGTGGCCACATTGTGTTTATGTGACGGGATGTCTGTGTTTCGGTGTCGATGGCACTTTGATTTGGGCTCGACACAACTGCCCATGCTCATGGAACGATGGCGAGGTCAGCCGTCACCTCCAAGCACATGTGTCTGACGAGCATTTTGTTGCTCCGGGGATGAAGATTGCCTCCGATTCGGCATTCCCTGTTAGTGGTCGTTGCTCAGGTAGAATTATCACCCCACTGAAAGAAGGTGACCTCGATCGCAACCCTCCACGCGACCGGTTGGCTCTGCAGACAATGAGTGACTGCATAACATCTCTCAGGCAGGCTGCAGAGTGGGGAATGGGCGCGACTGGAAAGGTCTACCGCCAGTTGTTGCTACTCCTACCGTACAACCCCTTGGTGCGAGGGCGTCGTCTCTCCAACATGTTTCAGCTCTACAACCTCAGAGTTCGCCGAACGGGACTCAGTCAAATCAAGAATGTATTTGGTGCATAGGTCGAAATAGTCAACATTAGGAAAGTTTGCATTTATTATGCTAAGATTGTGCCACACTACACTTTGTTTTTTTATACTATGGCCATCAACCTTGGAACTGAAGAATGAGATTTCATCATGTTTTTGACATATATCACAAAATCCCGAGGCCGTCCTATAAAATCCAAATAATCTGACTAGATAATGTGCATTAGCTACAGATGTCGTGTCATTTGTAGAGATAATTTGACCCATTTGTGATTATTCTGACAATGGAGCATCTAAATATATGCAATTCATTACTCTTGAAAATATTATGTCCTTGAATTACACACTTATCTGAATTACATGTTTAACTCGATTCATTTTTCCCAAAAATTTTGCCAAGGAGAAATTGCAATTCGTCGCGGCGAGCTTCGCGGGCTTCCCGATCCCTGTCGGCCTTTTCCACCCGCTCTTCGCGCAACCTGACGGTCTTTTGCTGTCGCTCGTACCTCATCTCTTCACGCTTGGCATCCCGCTCGATCATAACCATAAGAAACGTCATCATGTCGGACGACGCCTTCGCATCTGACTCCGACGCTCCTTCAATGTACTTGTCAATTGAGCGTCTCTTTTTTGCCGTGTACGACAGTAAACCACCGGTATCGGATTGTTTATGTTTGAGCTTGTCGCTCAGCGCTTGAAGCTCGGAGGGTTGCAAACCCGTACGACCGACCTCAACGCGTTGATCATCCAGTTGAGTTGGTAGTTGTGACGGCATCGTGGCCGACTGAAAGGTGTCATCTAGGAGCTCATTAGTTCAGAGATTGAAGATGTTGTCATATACCGCTACAGTCGTCGCTGTCGTCAGGTTCATCATCCATCGAAATGGTTGCATCCATCGACAGGACCGCCACAGAGCTCTCGATTTCTCTTTGCAGACGTTTTGCACGCAGGACGTCGGGGGGGCAGTCGGTATGGCCGGTTGGTTTCTGAACATTCTTGAGAAGCAGGAACTTTCTCTTCAGCGCTTATGCATCCCGATGCGGCAGAGACTGGGCAGTCGTCTCGATGCCGAAACGTTGGGCAACCTTTTCCCATTGGTTCTTACCCAAGGGTAAGACCGCGGCAGTGATGTCAAGCAGCAGGTCCACTGAAGAGGGACACCACGACTTACCATGGCCCGCCTTGGTTTTAACCATTTTGAATATGAATGGTTGTCCAGGGCATCATGATTAACCCCTTAATTTTTGTTGCTTTCATGATTACTTTTCACGGTGCGGATGCGAGGGGAGGTCTCACAAATGAAATGGATGCGAAGACGATATTTCGGTCTTCGCAACGAGCGTACTTTTATTTGAAAAATGTCTCAGTGAGAACCGGAAGAAATTATGATTTGCAAGATTTTTGGCAGGCATCCAATGCCAAAATTCCAAAAGACTCTCAAACATAGTAAACGACAATCATGCTGACAATATATACCAATTAACTAACCCAGTAGGTCCTTCACACCGAACTTTGGAGAGAACAAATTTCAGCAATAATATTGGCCAGCAACTACAATGAAATTCCGGCCATCATGAATTGTGGCAAAATAAAGCTAATCAAAAGTGCTCGCAGTCCACTTCATTTGCAAACTTTGCATCCTGTTCTCAATGCGCGCGCTACCATCATCGAATCCCTGCAAGAGCAGTAGTATGCTGTGGACCAAATTAACTTGGCCAAAAGCCTCCGCACGCATGGGGACACCATCGACCAGCACGACGACGTAAGTGCACTGTTTGTCTTTAGCCAATCGCTTAGTGGACATGCATTTTCGAAGGGTTATAGAAATCAAAATATTCATTATATAATGAGTGGGCATGAATTTTCGCAAGGTTTTTGTCTGCATCCAATTTTGACAGTTACTTTTGACGTGATTTGACTTAATTAAATTATGTGGGGACAGACAACGTCGACAACGACTTGATCGCCCAAAATCTCCACCCCAACTACTTGATCGCCCAAAATCTCCACCCCAACGCAGAGGAGACTGCGAACAGTCAATTAATATCGTGGGACTGGTATAGCTTACTAGCGTAAATCCTACCAGTAAAAGTAATTCGTAGTAAGAGACCTCAGTTTGCAATTTAATTCGGCCTCCGCAAGAGGTTCCTGTCCGGATAACGACGGGAGCGAAAACAAAGAATTCTTTAGCTTCATCGCCCGAAGAAATGAGTGACTTTGACCACCAACGCTCGCAGTCCCCTCTTAACGGGACTGAGCGATCCCGATCCCAAAAAGCCGAACCCGGTTGTCCCATGCGCCGTCAAGCCACTACCCCGTTCGTCTCTTGACGCCGGCGTGTTTCAACCAGTTGGCTACGTCAACATCCCATTCATGGCACCCATACCAACCCCCGTGGCCGATCCATTTGATTCCCCTGCGCCAGCTGCGACAACCAACTGGCACCACCATCCTGCCTCCTGTACCCGATGACGATGACATGGGACAAGGCGACGAGCACGGCTTCGTGTACAACGCGCCGGCGCTCCCTGACCCTCCCTCGTTCAACAGCTCGACCAAGTCGGAGTGGCGGACATTCATCCGCCAGTACAACTAATATCTGGACCAAGTCAACGCCCTCCAGCTCAATGGTCCAAGACCCTTCGTCAGGCCTGTCAGCGCGTACATGGAGGGAGGTCTTTACAAAAAAGCGTGTGACGATGTGGAACATGGCTAACCGCGACTACCGTGGCGTCACGGAGGCAGAGTGGACCGCATGGTTTGGCAAGGCGTTTGAAGAGGAGTCTCAACCTGGAAGTGCTCAAGAAGCGTTTGACAACGTCGATCCGGATCAACAATCCTGGACGCCGACTCGCGCATTGGTAAGATGCTTGACAGCCTGATGCGAGCCTTGGAGCGCGACGACCAAGCGTGGGTGTTCGACCAAGCATGCAATACAGTTGTCGACATCATGGTCAAGGCGATCAAATCGCTTGGCCTGCAGAAGTCTGCTCAACGCCAGCTGGCCTCCAACGCAACAAGCCGTTGAAGACCAATGTGTACCGTTTGGTGGACTGGCTGCGCGTGCAAACCGCCGGGCACCCTGTATGCCCCGGTGGAAGACGAGAAGACTTCGGCAACGCCTGCGACAGCAGCCGCAGCACCATCGCGGCCGTCCAAGCCTGGACGATCGGAAGGCAGCGGTGGCAGCAAAAGTGGACCTCCCTGGCGCCCCAGCCTCCGAGCAAGACAGCGCGAAGTACGACCGCAAGAAGGCGACCTGTCTCAAGTGCGGCAGCAAGAACCACAAGGCGGTAAACTGCCCTAAGTGTGCGCCTGGCGAATCCGAGCGCCTGCTCAAGGAGCAAATGGACAAGTGGGAGAGAGCGTGCAACAAGGTGACCAAGCTTCAAGGCAGCGCGAACAAGTTCCTCGGCCGCGAAGCCATGATTGAAGGCATCGTGTCCGTCACGACAACCCTCCTCGACAACGGCTCCAATGTTACTTTGGTGACAGCCAGTCTCATGAAGTCCCAGGATCGAGACGGCGTGGATGCCAAGGTGATTTCGCCAGAGCCATCAGTGATCTAGCCGTATGGCCAAGCACCTGCCCTCAAAGTCACCCGCCAAGTGCAGTTCAAGTTGGTCACCCTGGACACCCCCTGTGGACCATTGGCCCTGCGTGGACTCAAGGCCTGGGTGGACTCTTCCTCCAACGCGGCAGAGCTCCTGATTAGCCGGGCTGTGATGGAACGACTGGGATTCTCTGAAGACGAGTTGCTCAGCCACGCCTTTGTCAAGCAAGAAGTCTGGGATGTCAGTGACGTGGACGAGCCATCTGCGATGGCAAGTGTCAGCTCCCTGACTCAAGTGGCCGCCTCAAGTGACGAGTCCGGTGATGATGACATGCACTGTGCCACCCCCAACATCCAAGTCCCATCTGCTGAAGACGCAGAAGGCGAGCGAAACAGGCGGCGAGCGGTGGTTGAAGCGGTGATTCAAGCCAAGCTCCGTGCCTCTGAAGGTGAAGGCTTGACCGCGGACCTCCTCGAGACGCTGCGACTCCTCCTGACCAACCACGGCGATGTATTCCGCCTGGAGATCGGCCATGATGAGACGACCAAGGTAGAGCCGCTGCGCGTGCGCATCAAGCCTGGCGCCGTCCCTGTCAATTGTGGCCTGCGACGATACCCCCCAGCCCATGTGGAGCTCCTGAATACACATGTGCGCGAGCTGGAAACAGGCGGTCTGGTATAACGCAAATACCTCGCGACATCGGACTCGGCACCGCGCATCGTCCCTACGAAAGACCCTGGCGACTTGGGCATGACCATCGACAGCCGGCCCATCAATGCGCGCACGGAACCTATGCCGAACCTCGACGCCGCCCTGACTGTTTTGGTTGACGCGAGCGTTTTTCACCCTCGATTGGTTCAAGGGCTACTGGTAGCTGGCGCTACATGAAGACTCCCAAATGTACTACAGGGAACTTCAGAATGCAAGGCCTACTTTTTCTTCGAGTGGTATCAATACAAGTTCATTTGATTGGCTATCGATCTTCGAAGTACGAATTAAATGCCTGCCAATCAGGTTCATCGTTCGAAATAATATTCAGGGCTTCAAGTTCATTCGTTTGTATTGTGCAGGAATTATATTATGCGTCAAAACAAGCTTAGAAGCATAGCGGACATGGAATCAATTGTAGTTTTTTCGACAGGTCACTGAAATACGCAGTAGTTGTTATGATTGGTACTACGTATTAACTTATTTTTTGGCAATCATATTTAGACCCTTTCTCAGCATCGAATCACTTGGATTTCTGTCAACATGCATGCAAAAACTGGGACAGATTAAGGATTATTATGGATCGGAATGATAGAGCTTGCTTGCAATTAATTGGTTCGTTCCGTGGTTTCACAGTCAGTTGAACGTAGTATTACCCGTTGACGTACTCGTTAGAAATGACAATTCAAATAGCTCGTAACGTCATGACTGTAATAACACTAGACAATTATGAGCGCGCACGACTGTAATAGAACACCCTAAGATCGAGACCACCACACCCGCCGACACCACCACGGCGGACGATGCGGCGAAGACCACCACGATACCCACCACGGCGAAGACCACGACACTTGACTCGAAGAACATGGTTTGTTGTGGTCTTCGTTATGGTGGGCACCACCACAACGATGGGGTACAGAGCAATTGAAACATTGGCTGTGCAAGGCATAATAATATACGGTCGTGATCTAATATTATGAGATATAAGGTTAACGAAGCAATAAAAATTCATTCGTATGTAAAAAATGTGATTTCTACTTTGAATAAAAACATCCACCAAACATGTACCGTAACTTTCACAATCCAATTCTATTGAACATTTTAGGAGTGCAACGTTTGCTTTCTTCGGTAGGCTTTGCATTCTGAAGTTCCCTGTACTACTTCACGACCCCCTTTGGAGTGTACTCGCCAACAAGAGTGCTTATGGGCCAAACGGACGCGATCGCGTTCTGTCAGTCGGCGGTGGGCTTCATGTTTGCCGACCTACTGTTCAAGGGACTCCTAGCCTGACTCGACGGCATGCTTAGCTACGCCGAGACCCCTGAAGACCTCCTCGACATCCTCGACTTGGTCGAGGATGTCTTTTAGGGCGCGATCGCCACTCAAGTACCATTTGAAGACTTGGCCCTGCGATTGGTAGAGCAGCGCCACCAGCCGTTGCCCTTTCTCAGTGGCACCTTTACTGGCGCAAACGAGCGTTGGCCAATCGTGGAGTATGAAGCGTTTGCCGTTGTGGAAAGCTGCAAGCGGCTGGACTATATTCTCATCCGCCCAGCTGGCTTCCATCTTTTCACCGACCACAAGAAGCTGTAGTACATTTTCAATCCTGCCGACCAGTCCCCAAGCATGGCAAGGTACCAAGCAAACAAGTTGGAGCGCTGGGCCTTGTTGCTTTCCTCGTTCTCCCACACCATCGAGTGCCTGCCCGGCGAAGACAATGCATGGGGCGACCTGCTAAGCCGCTGGGGCGCCCTCCAAGCCCAAGTGCCAACGAAGTCCGTCCGGTGCCTCCTCGCCATGGTGTCACCCCTGCAGTAGCCCGACTTCGACTGGACCAGCCCTGTCAGCATCGTCAAGACCCAACAAGTGACCGTGAAGAGGGGAGAGAATGAATTCAAGAACCTGTTCCTCGACAAGGAAAACCGCATCTCGATCCCACCAAGTGCCACGGACCTCCAGCAGCGGGTCTGCATCATAGCCCACCAAGGCACTGCAGGCCATCGACGAATCGAAGCCACGACCAAGCCGTCCGCGATGTCTTCGCCTGGAGCACCCACGAAGCCGTTGTCAAAACAGTTGTCCAAGCCTGCATCCACAGCCTCAGCGTCGATAGCTCAGTGGTCTCACACCCGCTTGGATCGGCGCTCCATGCCGAGAAGCCCCAAGAGCTAATCTACGTCGACTGGCTCTCATGTCCACGGCGACGAACGGCTGGCAGAAGATCCTCGTCATCAAGGACGACATGAGCGGGCTCGGGCTCGTGCGACTTTGGACCAGCCAGACAAGCGACCGCCTACGGCCTTCTCCACAGGTTCACGACCTTTGGGTATGTCCATACCTGGGTCTCCGACAGCGGCTACGATTTCAAGAACGAAGTCATCGATAAGATCCACAAGGCCACCGGCTCCAACCACCACATCACGGCCATCTACTGTCCTTGGGAGAATGGAACCCTTGAAGTAGTCAACCGACTGATCTCCGCGCTGCCAAGACGCTTACCAGCGAGCTGATGCTGCGCGCGACCGACTGGCACCTCGTCCTGGCCCTGGTATGTGGCGCCTTGAATCACATGCCCGATCGACCGAGTTAGCGGCGGTGACCGCCTTTACTAGCCAGTCTACAACGACGCCCCTGTCTGCCTTTGTCAACACCGTTACCAAGGAAGTCGCCTACATTGACTGGCTCGACGCCACGCACAAAAAGCACTGGACGAGCTGCATCAAGCAATGGAAGAGCTGCACGCGAAGTGGCTGCCCAAGCGCCAAAAAGCGACACCAAACTCGCGACCGCCAAGCCAAGGCCAAGGCTGTCAAGTTGCAGAAGTTCGCGATCGGCGACTTTGTCCTCGTTGTCCGAATGCCCCACCAAGGCAACAAGTTGTCCCTGCACTGGCACGGCCCAAGTAAGATCGTCCGGGTCGTGACAGACTATGTCATGGAGACCCAGCGGTTGGTGCGGCTTTACGACTTGTCCCTCCACCACGCCCGCCGACTCAAGATGTATAGCGAAGGCGACTGCGATGTGACCGAAGATCTGGCCGACCATATTGCCTTTGGCAATGAAGGGTTCCACGTCGCCAAGCTCGGCAACGTCGGCGAAGAAGGCGGCGAATACCAAGCCCTAGTCTACTGGCTTGGTTTCGATGAAGAAGAAGCCTCATGGGACCCGTGCACTCCCACTATGTACACATTCCCATCGTTTTCCACCGCTGGGTTCACCAACACGAAGACCAAGAACAAGTGAAAAAAATGCCCGCGGAACACGAGAACCTCCAGAAGTAGCCCTCGCACACTCCCTTTAGGGGGTCGGTTCATGGTCAAATGATCGGTAAGGCGGTTAGTCTCCATTATGTGCAGCAGGCCGCCATTCGTCGTGCGGTTGTACGCCATTTTCGTGCGGTTGAAAGATGTGCATTGTTGGCGCATTTTTATTGGACGAAATGATTAGACTTCAAATAGACCAGAAAAAGTAATTCGTAGTAAAAGACCTGACTCACTCTCAGTTTACAATTTAATTTGGCCTCGGCATGAGGTTCCCGGGGCAAGTTGTGGGACTTCAGTGGCGTGAAGCGCCCTTCAGGGAGTGATACCTTCCACCTCCCCAGGTATGCGATAAATTAACTCTGCTACAGTAGTACGTAACACATTTCATGCAACTACATTTCATTTAGCAGCACGAACACCGTCGTTTCGTATCCCCTCGTACCACTGTAGGATCGTTTTCAGCATTCTGACAGCTTCGTGCGCTCCAAATTTACAGTTACGGTTAAATTCTGTGTAGCGTTATAGATAACAAAGAAGTAATCGTCAGATTAGCGAGATGGTAAATTATCTCGCCAGGAGTACTGTATGCGCGCTATGCACTTCTCTGTAGGGAGGTTGCGGGTTCAGCCCTGCAAGACGTCAACCCTTTTTACACGTGTACCTTATGTGTACATTAAATTTGAATACTCATTCCACTCCTTTATCACAATTCGTCTTAGCGTAGTAATGGTAAAGTATCAAGCTTTCTCTCCAGAGGTTAATTGAGTTTTGGATTAACGTTATCATTATTACTCCGCGGAGTAACGTAAGACATTGCTCCGCGAGGGGCGCAATTCCCTCATTAAAATAGTTTCACTGTTGTTTTGACCCGAAATAATGTTTCAATGAGATTTATAAGGAACTTTGTATGCTCAGACCACCTCACCTCATACTAGGAGTTAACCCCGGAGATTTAGCATCGTATGTACTCACCGGGGGTAGGACGGAGTCCCAGGTTACAGGGCTACTGACGAAAAGGTGTATTCGGATGTAATAATTCCCTCATTAGAGACATTTAGCAATCCTGTAATTTGAAATTTCAGGAATCTAACTTCGGGCTACTCACTGCTACAAACTTCGTGGTGTCCAAATTCCGCTCGGAATTTGCCTCAAATATACGAAATGGAACGTCAACTTCGTCTATTTCAAAGCCCATATTACAGAAACGCGTCAAGGCAATCAAAATTCAGGTGGTGGAAGTTCATGGTGTCCTGTAAAGCATGCACTTGACATTGCTCTTAATGACTGAGACACAGCCTCGAGCACCCAGAACGTACATCGGATGGACGGAGGACCTCGAGGTAGAGCTTCTTCGTGAAGTGTCGCGCATCGAACCATTCGCCGCTGACCACGGTGATCTGCTGCAACGCTGGAAGCTGGTTGAAAGTGGCCTGAGTGATCACGAGCCCAAGCTCAACTACCGTGGTGCTCGTGAGCATGTCGACGCGATGCTCAAGGAATTCAAGCAAGAAGACAAGGTCCAACAACTTTTAAGTGGAACCGATGAGGATGTTACCGAGAAGGTTCAGCTACTGCAGGACCTCGTAATGCGTATGGATGAAGTGGCCTCATCGAAGAAACGAAAGCGGCTCAAGGAGAGTGAGAAGACGGAGGTGCTTGAGAGTACCGGTGACAAGCTCTGTCGTGAATCCGAAATCCGTGTAGCGAAGAAAGAGGTCGAAGACGTTGTCGTCGTCACGATTGTCTACAGGGAGTTCTCAAGACGATTCGGTAGAATCGTCCTTGAACGACTTATTGGAATTTGAGAAGCAGCGACACGAGGATGACCACAAGTACCGAATGGAGCGGCTGAAATTCGACAACGAGGAGCAGCGCCTGCGCCGCTTACAGAGTACCCAACTATAAAATCTTGTGGGTGTTATGATGCAATTCATGGGTAGTCGACAAAAGTAGTTTGCATTTAATTGCACGTCTAGTTACTCCAAATTTCTGACTTGCGTCAATCCAATTTATTCTTGACCTGCACAATGACACTAAAGCCCCTGGATTTAAGATGCAAATGGAATACACATGAATGCAGAAAATATGCGATGGCGGGGGATGGAACTCGAGACCAATTGACACCTTATATACCTCAATTTTTTCATTATGTCAATTGGACATCGCCGGAGTACGGAACTTTATCATGGACCTACCATTAGATATACATTTGTGGTTAGGTACTTGCACAGTTGTGTAGTCATGTCTTTGGCACGCTATAAGGATGATCGTTCTCCTTGGTGATAACATCACACCCAAATTCCACTTTTTCGAAATAGGTACTATTGACAATAACTGAAAGTCCTTGAGTGCAAAAAGAAATATCAAATGCGACTTCATTGTTAAATCAAAAATACATTTTCTCGACTTGATACATCAAGGTACTCTTCTAAGGCTTTAATCCAAAGTAAATACTGTTGGCGTTACGCTGGCGTGCACAAGTACAGGGGGCGACGGATTTTAAGGGACGCCGAAGTTTTATGGAAGCACAGAATATTATAGCCAATCACCTGTGACATTGAAACATCAAATTCCGCAGTTGCTATTACCGGTAGTGTAATTTCAAATTCCCGAGTTCCATTCGAACGAAGAAGATTTCTGGAATTTGTTCAAATTCTGGACTTGCTAAATGTCTCTCATCGGTACTGTATAACCTCAGTCTGTATTTATTAGACAGATTTCGGAAGCACTGCGGTAGACTTCCCACGCACGAAATTTTAATGCACGGGAAATATATGGCAGACCCAACTCATGATTTCGACAAAACGTATTTGCATGAGGAACGATATCCGTATGCTTGCAAGTGTGGTGGCGAATCCACATCGCTCATAGTTCCCTGTTGTTGCATTGCGTAAGCTTAGTCATGTGGCCCCATTACCACAGCTGGCATCACGAAGGGGCCTTGTCATACACCTCATGGGTCCACAACTTTACTATCACTATGATACCAGTTTTTGCTGCCACGTTGAGCAAGGGAGTGGCTTTACGACACCTTACGAAACCGCTTGGTGATTTTAGTTCATGATTAGAGGGGCGCAACTGCGTATGCGACCATGTCCACTTATGTGCACATGCGGATGAGAATTGTGAGTTTTCTGTACGCTTCATGCGCCTATAGGCGAAACATCGAAGCCCCATATTCAAATCGTAGGAGTGCGGGCAGGATATTGACCCAAGGCAATTACGCCGACTGCTGGAAAAGGTACAGGATAACTGGCTGAATGAATAAGGCAAGATAAGATGCACGTAATCGCTCCACCTGAACTCTTGGAATGGCCCACCTTACAGTTGCGTGGAAAAGGCTGGACACCAGGCTACGTCGGGTTATGCAAGGTGACTAAGTGTGCATGATTAACGTTATGCGCGACTGGTTGAAATCCACGATTTAAGACCAATGACGGTGCCCTAAAGGAGGGGTGACCTTTGCCGTACAAATGGCCGTTTCTACGGCATCCCACATAACACCGTAAACTCGATAAATTTTAAGGAGGTAAGTTGACGGCAAATGCATGGGATCGTGTTCCGAAATCTGTCTATTGACTGTGAAACTGTATTTCGGGTCAAAACAACAGTGGAAGTATTTTAATGAGGGAATTATTCCTGCGATGGCCGATACTAGTACCACATGTTGTGGAACCGCTTCGCCAATTGTAACCCGCCTGCGCGGATGTAATCTTCGGTTTTTACTTCGCTCAACGCTTCACACCTCGTGCTTCGACCGATGTTCGGTTTTTGTCTCGTACAGATGCA